GCTCGGACCCGGCTCCGTGCCTGTCCCGCTCCTTGCCCCTCGCCGTCGGCCCTGTCCCTCTGCCCCGGGATGCCGCCCAACCTCACCGGGTATTACCGCTTCGTCTCCCAGGAGAACATGGACAACTACCTGCGCGCTTTAGGTATCGCCACCCTCCTCATCCCTCTCCTTTCTCCCCCTTTGTTCCCTTTTGCCTCTAAGGAAAAAAAGTCAGAAGTCCGAAAGGGGTTTAGGAACCCTCTGGTCCTTCTGTCTGTGACCATTGCTTTTGCACTGTGGTGGGAAGAAGGAGGAGGTATCATGGCTGGGGCTCCCTTCTGCAGGGATGCTGCTAGAGGAGGGGCCCGGGTCGTCCACAGATATCCCCTCCCTCTCATTCTCCAGATATCAACGTGATCTTGCGAAAAGTGGTTTGCCTTTTGAAGCCCGATAAAGAGATTATCCACACGGGAGATCACATGGTCATCCGCACAATCACTTCCCTGCGAGACTATGTAATGGATTTTGACCTGGGAGTCCAGTTTGAGGAAGACCTGGGACCTGTGGATGGACGCAAGTGCCAGGTGAGAAGCCCAAGCTGTGCAGTTTGGCAGCGGACCGGGGTGCACTAGAAGTTCAGGTGCCTGCCTAGCTTTTGATTCACGAACCCGGTAAGAGCCCAGCCCAGAGCTGGCATGCCCATGCAGGTCCAAGGATAGGTAGTTCTATGGGTAAATCACTAACACCAGACCACCAGAAAAACCCAGTTCTCTGGGACCCAGAGGGTATTATCCTCTGGAGCAAAGCCCTGAAAAGACAGAACATCAGCCCACTTGGCAGTATTCTATTGCACTTGGAAGCCAGAGGGTCATTCACCTCCAGCAAAGAGCATCAGTCCCAAGGAGCCACGGAAGAGACACCAGATCAGGGACTGCCTTTGTAAATGTGTGTGAGAGGAACTGCCAGTGTCATCACTGGAAACCTGTATTGCCAGGACCTGCTTCTCTTGGGACCGCGTCTTCCCCTTTTCTCCTTTTCAGACAACTGTCTCCTGGGAGGGGGATCAGCTGGTGTGTGAGCAGCTGGGAGAGAAGAGGAACCGAGGCTGGAGGCACTGGCTGGAGGGGGACCAGCTGCATCTGGTGAGGAGGGGTCCAGCACAGCCTGCGAAATCCCAATGGCAGTGGGCAAGGGGCTCGCAGAGCTGGGCTGTGGACTCTAAGCCGTGCAGCTTCCTTCCAGCTCCCCTCGAACTCCGGCCCCAGCTCCTCGGGGGGTAGAGTCCACCGCACACAAACATCCGGCTCCAGTGTTTAAAAGTTAACGACGCTCGGCAAAGGCAAC